TCAAGGTTGGCACTGCAGGCTACGGCCCGGCGGCTGGAGTCAAGGCTGCGTAACCCTTAACCCTAAGCCCTAAACCTTAAATAGTAGTTTCCATTTCATTTTCCATTATCCCTATATAACCCCAATAAAACTCTACTGCTACCCCAATGGGTGATGTCTGAGTTACATTTTGAAGGTGCGAACTTGGTTCTGCCCACCGTTGCCCTGTGAAGCCGGAATTCCGGGTGCTAGGAGACGTTCGGAGATGCAGGCAGGTGAATGTGCAGCGGTTCATCTGTGTCTTCCTGCAAAGGAAGCAGGTAATGTTTCTCGAAAGATCTCCGTCCTTTGCAGCGTTGACCTGCTGTAATTACACGCGCGACTTCAGATCCAATTTCGGGGTTTCCTGAAGAGTTTGTGGCACTACTTCAGGGTTTGGGGTCAGATCCTCCCGACGCTGAGCGCATGCTCATCAGCCTGTGCTGGCTTTATCGGGACCTTGGGCAGGCATCCGGGTTGTAGGCTTCATTTGGTGGATTCCCCAAAGTGGGAACCTCCACAGTCACTATGAACCCTAAAATATTAGAATCCGAATAATAGGGACTCCCAAAAAGGTACCCCTAATTTTGCGAAACTCCCATTGACACAACTTTAGTACTTCAGGGGGAGTCTTTGCCAGGATGCAGACTGCCGAAGACGAGCAGCATCTTGGTTTGAGACGTCTGCACCAGACGAGCATTGGATCAAGCAGGGCAAAACCCTTGAATAGTAGCATCTGGCCCTCCCTCAACAAAAGTTTACATTATCTATCTATTTATCTATCTATCTATCTATCTATGTATCTATCTACGTATCTATCTATCTCCCCATGTACAGATATATGCATGTATGTATCTGAATTAATGCTGGCTATGACTTAAGCAGCTTGAGTTGGCATGTCCAGGTTCGGGCATAGTTACAGAAACATATGAAGTGGTACCTGCATGTAGCAAGGTGGCAAGGGATCCCAGAGTTATGTAAACTAAGCCCTCTAAACCCTGAACCCTAAACCCTATCGTCCAATCCTCTGGCAACAAGGGAGCTGCATGGTGCGTCTTCGGAGATAGGACTCTTAGCGGAGGAGTCTCCGAAAGCTTCTTTCACACGTTCCTTTGCGAGCCCTCACGACTAAATGGTAATTTCCACTCATGCGGGCGACCCAATACAAGAATCCTTATTGTAGGGACTCCCAGAAAGGTACCTCTATGTTTTTCAAACCCCTCTAGATTCTGACTCTTCCATCTAAAGCGCGCCCAGTTCCGGACCAAGGCTTGATACCTGCAACTTTGCTGGGCCCCACCCGTCTACCTGAGCCATTGTGATTAATCAACAATCCCTGGGGTTATATAGGGGTTATATTGGGATACTGGAAAAGAAAATGGATGCTACTATTTAGGGTTTAGGGTTTAGGGGGTTTAAGGTTTACAGAGCTGGTCTGATCAACCAAAGGTTCCCTGGGTTCGTTCTTGAGTTGCTTTCATTTCCACCAAGAGGACCTCGACTCATTCACGGTTTAGATCCTCCTTCGAGACTGAAAGTTGTAGAACTGTGACATGATTTTATTCTGGTTGGTGAAGTTGGCATCTGAGAGTTTCTCAGAGTATCCCCTACCCAATCCCTAGAGGCGCTAGAGAGAAGCCCAACAGCCCTCTGATAATCATCCCACCATGCAGGGTCCCTAGAAGACCATATTGAGAAACACTCCTATCTCAGCCTGAAACCCTCAACCCCAAAGCTTAAACCCAAGACCCTAAACCTTCAACCTTAAACCCTAAATCCCAAAGCTTAAACCCCAAACCCTAAACCTTCGACCTCAGGCTCTTGACCTCCAACTTGGCAGCCTTGGGAGTGGCTTCACTGGAGCGACTGGGGTTGTGTTGTGTTGTCTGATTGGATCCTATTGGGAAGTTGGAGGCTATGAAGCTTGTGGGGAGAACAGGGGTAAGGGTATTCAAACAAGAAACGGCTTGGGGTCTGGGAATTTTGTTTTTTTTGGGGGGGCTTAGCATTTCATGAAACTTGGGTGTCGTCGCTTCCCTACTTCTCTCTGGATCCCCGTTAAGCTTTGGAACTTGAGGCAGCGCGGTTCTGGACGGCATAAATTCAAACGACTTTCCCCTCAAATGCCTGAGCACAACCCTGGGATCCGATACATGCGCCATGATGCGCCGAGCTACAGGCAGGCCGCATGCGGCATCTGTTTTCGGCTTCCGGCCCACAGGGATTAGCCGTGATGTATGCGGCCAGAACAATCGAGACTTAGCGTGTGGCTTGCATCAGGTATTGCGGGCTCGCGGTGTGAGTCTGACAAGCTTTCATCTCGCCGTTTCATACGAAACCTGCAGCATGGCATCTTTGTGCCTGAGCGCACTCCCTAAATTTCGGCGTAGCTGTGCCAAAAAAGCTAAGCGTCCCTGAAGGAGTGGATGCTTCTCCGCCAGAGCCTTCTGCACCTGCTACCAGGCCGGCCTGGGTCTTTTTTGTACCCGCCTCTTCTCGATTCAAGTTTGGAATTCTCTTTTGTGGCTTGCCCATCGCCTGAGAGGCCTCGTGATCCCGACACAGCTCCTGTTCGACGCGCCGACCATCTTCGAGCTGTCCTGCTCACAGGGTTCCTACCTGCCTCTGGTTGACACAGCATTCTTCGTGGGATTTGGGCATGCCTAGACTGAATTGGCTGCTTTCTAGTGTTGAGGCTTCAGGACTGTGCTTGATTCCGTCCATTACGCTTCTGTCTTACAGTGGCCTCCGCAGCCATAAGGGATGACAGCGAAGGTCATGAAGCCAATCCTGGTGTCACAATCTCAGCCAGTTTTTTTTACCGGACCTGAGCGAGATCAGAAGGGCCCGGTAATGCCAGTATTGCTTGCTTGCTGCCTGCTTTCATCTGCTCTTTGAGCAGTCTCTTCTGAAGCCATGGGAAACATCTGCTACTCAACTGGCACCGATGGCAAAGGCGCCTCAGAGAAAATTGAGGAACGGGTGGGTAGAATTCTGGGAGGTTGTTCTCCATACCTTAGGGATGCGCATGGCGGAATTGCCGGCGTCATCTTGGATTTCAGAGCCCTTGTTCGATCAACACGCTGCATCGATCTCTGCAATTGGTCTTGTCATTGAAGACCAGAACTGCAGTGTCGCCACAACACCCAAAGAGGTAGCACATCAAGCCGCACGCCTGTAGGCAGTAATGTTAACTTCCCATTAACTCCCCCCCATCTGATTGATCTGTCTCCGTTCCGAGGGTGAATAATCATGGCAAAAGTATAGGTTTGACTATCCATTTAGAATCAACTGAAATCTAATCAACTTCGTTGCCCAGGAAAGTAATATTCTCCAGGAATATTACAGTAGTGGGTCGTGTTATACCTGTGTCCCGGCGGCGGGCTTTTATAGATATGGGTCTAGTCCTAAATGTGATGTCAACAATGAAAATACTGGGGTGCAAATTCTTCAGAAGTGCACAGGCCCTCGAAGAAACCAGGTATATGAGAACCCTAAACCCTAGCTGGTTTCGTCAGGCTTTGAGTTCAGCTTTGCCAACATCCGTGCCATGCGCCGCAAGCGCGAGGCCGGGGGGGGGGAGGCGGGGGGGGTGGGGCTGGGCTTGCTATCCCTTAAGAGGTTTCGGGCTTTAGGTTGTTTAGTGGTTTAGGGTTAAGATAGAAAAGTATTTACGGAAATCATGTCGGCAGAATCCCAGTGCCACTGAGCTGCAATCAAAACAGTAATTTCCGTGAGGTCGTATTCGATTTATGTTCATCCTGCGTTTTGCTGACACTGCTGGCGGCTCTGTTTCCCGAAGGCACGCCCTTGAATTCCTGGCTCCTTGTGTTCATGTTCGGCCCCTTAATCAATTTTGCGTTTGCTTTGCTGGTAGCGTCTTGCTTCTGACTTATTTTGCTGGACTGTATGAGAACCCCAACAAGCGTGAGGAATGTTCTGTTTTGCTGTCGGGAGGTATCGCATGAGGCACCCTCCAAAACAGCCTGCAAATGAAATGAGCACATGACCCGACGTAAGAAGTATTGATTTCACCCTTTGGGGTGGCCACGTAGAAGCTAACATGGAGCTATGCGGGCGGAAAGTTGGAGAACTCTCAACAACAAATGGTCATGCCTAAGCTCGCAGCTGGGTTTGTTTGCTGAGCCATCGCCTGCTGGCTAGAATCCTTCGAGAGTCGCTTGGCATCATCGTGTTTCTTGCACAGGCCCGTCCTTGAAACGTCTGCACCCAACTCCGTCCACAACCTTCAGTCGTAGTGCCTACAAGCTTGGAGTCTCAATCCTCAAACGTGACAAAGCAGGAGAAGGCCTTGCGCAGCACGGGCGCTGAGTTGAGCGAGCCCTTTGCCATTGACTGGAGCAAAGCAAGGACAGTTGAGCGCTTTATGTGAGTATCATCATGTGCGGCTCTGGAGCGCAGCCAGAGTTCCTCATCTTGGCGCTTTAGCTGGTATCCGACGCACGATTCCTACTTCAGCTACGGATGCGTGCTGACATGAGTGGAATCTGGGTCTGTAGGTCAGAAAGAGGATCTAGTGCCGACAGCAGGGATACCTACAACGTCATTGTTTACTTGCAGCAAGCGTTTGGTTGAAGCGGCAGTCATTGCTTGATTTGGATCCATTGTTTGCAGATGCCGCAGACTCCCATAAGTCTTTGCTCCTCACAAAACTGCTGGATTGTGATCTTTGCTCGTTCGACCGATTTAGACCCCTGTGCTGACCATGCCCATCTGAGCAGCACCATGTTTGTCCCCATCGTATCATGACACCCGAAAGCAATAGGTCCTGGTGCATCGTTGTGCATGACTTTCTGGGTTTGGCTGTGACTGTCACTGCCTTACTGAGTCGTCATTATTGACTTCCAGAAACAGTGTCACAAGTACCATCCTGTCATCAGAGAACTTTGTCAGCCGAGTCATGTTCCACGCGGCACATGAGGGTAGCCCAAGATGGGGCTTATTTTTTGGGACTCCCCATAATGAGCATTGTAGTATTGTGGGTCTATTCTGGGGTCCCCCTGTTTAGGAAAACTGCCAAACCACTGGGCTATGAAGTGCACAGGAGCCAGAATTGGCAGTACGAAGAGATTGTAGGCCCAGGCACTTCCGCATCGCCTTCTCTTTAGGGTTTGTTAGGTTTCAGGGTTTGGAGTTTGTTGTTTGGGGTTAAGGGCCATTAGGAGGCTGCGTTTCCACGGATGGTTCTAGCATTGGATCCTTGGAAGGGACTTGGGTAGGTGGATATTTTGCATCCGGTCCTGTTTGGGGTCTCACTGCTTGCTGATGCTGCTAGTAGGTTGAAAACGGTTTCAATCACTAGCAATTCATGAAAATGGGATCCTGCCGGCCAGGGTCGTTCTTCTTCAAGTTCCAGCCAGTGATCGAAAAGGTCAATGGCCCTATCCAAGAAGGGCGCGAAAAGCTGAAGCAAAGCCCTTCGGACTTCGAAGGTCTCATGTACCAGACCAACATGACAGAGTGGCCCAAAGAGCACCAGAAGTATGACCTTGTCAAGCGCACAGGCAGCGGCTATAGGTTCAAGCCTGGGACAGAGCCCAACTTCACCTTCGTGCAGGCCAAGTATGTGGCTATAAGGCCCCACACTGAAATTGGCGACTTCGACCGCGACGCCTACACCGACAAGATGACTTTCCGAGGCCAGAAGCTGGCTAAGGCCTGCCACCCTGGGCGTGGCCAGGGCGTCCTCTGGCTGATAGCTCTGACTATACGGTTTTTTTAATCTAGGTAGGAAGACACTCCAGTTCACAACCAGGCTATTCGGGTACTACTACTACCTATACCCGCTATAGTTGTGATTCGTGGTATGCCTACCTAGCTTCAGGCATGATAGCCAAGCGTAAGTGTTGGTGGTATTCCGCTTCTGCTGAGTCTCACGGCTGTTTTGAGTTCGAAGCAGTGCTGGTATGGCAGCGGTAGTGGCAGTCATGGCATTCGGAGTAGCATAGTGGTTGCTGTTGTTGATGTAGTTTAGTAGTTCTTGCTCTTCTTCTGGTTATTGATGGGTTGCGACTGCTTCTACATTCATTAATTTGTAGCAGGTAGCACTTGTATTACTAGAATCAGAGGTAGCGGCAACTGTATGAGTACCACAAGTAGTGGTGGTGATGCTGGTGCTGGTGCTGGTGCTGGTGCTGGTGCTGGTGCTGGTGGTGGTGGTGGTGGTGGTGGTGCTGGTGCTGGTGGTGGCGGTGGCGGTGGTGGTGGTGGTTGTGGTGGTGGCAGCAGTAGTAGGTGGTACGGGACGCCCGCAGTAGTAGCAGCGGCAGGAGGCGGAGTAGGAGTAGGAAGAGGGGCAAGAGGAGGGGGAGGAAAAAGCGGGAGGAAGGAGCAATGGCAGCACCATCAAAACAAGCATTTCACCGCAGGAGTGGAGGATGCAGCAGCGGCAGCAGCAAAGGGTATGCATGGAAGTTGCCCTACCCAGCCCAAGCTTGTGCTTCCGGAAATGCTGCAGAGCATTAATTCATGTATGCTTGGTCAAGTTTGTTTGCTGCTGAGACCGTCTCTGCTGAAAGGCTAGCACTCCTAGTAGTAGTATTAGAGTGGGATAGGAATGGACCGAGTCTGTTGATTTAGTAGAGGTTTCGATTCCAGTCAGTCACGTTACTCTTTTGAAATACAAGGTTCCGGCTTCATCGGGCTTGAGTGCTAGCCTCCAGTCCATAAATGATTCAGGTTTGCGACGTTCCGCACATCAAGCTTATCGGAGAGATTCATCCAAACGACATTATCCAGGGCTCCGTTGGCGACTGCTGGCTGCTCTCCGCCATCTCGGCGCTGTCAGAGCTGCCCGTGTTGAGGTTGTGTAGCCGTGTAGCCTCCCAGGGTCCTACCCCCTTAGCATTTCAATAGTTTCTATTGCTCGTAGAACCCCTACGAAGTGTTGAAGCACTTTTTTACACAGGTCTAGGGGGGGTTGCAGGAGCACGGTGGCCTGGAATGTTGCACTGCGCTTTTTCTAGTACAGGTAGGCCAGTATTCGCCAAAGATAGTAATCTGCACACTAGACATACATGTGGCAATGCTGCCACTGAGTTCTAGTATCACGGCCACCGCAACTTTTGACTGAAAGGACGGTCGGTTTTTGACATTGCAAGTACAGCAGGTAGTGTCAAGTCATATCGTCCTCACTAAGCCAGTAGAGTGCGGAGTACAAGGCATCTCAGGCTGAAGGCAGAAGAATGTCAGCAAGGCAAACCATGTAAATTGCCAGCCTTATACTTTGAATCTAAGGTTCCAGGGGGCTATTGCCAAGATCTTCCGCAAGACGGAAAGGCTCCCAAGCCTCCCGCGGGATACGCCCACCAAGTACACGGTTACCCTTTTCGATCTGAAGCCCTGGCTTTCAATTTGACTGTTGGTCGTTCAAGGGGTATCTTTAGCAGGCTAAGCCCGCTACTCCTTTGCAATCCAGCCTGTCATCAGCTCGACAGCTATTTTGGGCTCGAGCGTTCCGGGGGATGTGATTGAGAAGGTCCGTCCATCGTGGTAGCATCACAGTGCTTTACGGACTTGGGATTTCTGTCCAATGACTTGTTTTTTGGATAGTCTAAGTCTCATATGAATGACATGTTTTGAATCTCGCTGACCCGTACTGTGAACTCTAGCCTCCTACCCGAAACCTGACCTTTCCTTGTTCATCATTGGTTGACGATGAAACGTGCAAAGGGCCTGCCTAGGCCTTCGGCCCAACAAACCCAATTCGCCAGTGATGAAACATGCTGATCCCACACTGCAAGGAAGAGTTGGTCTCCTGTGGATATTGAGATTGACGAGCGTCTGTGCATGCTGCCAGATGGTAGTGATCTGCTTGGTGCCATGGCCGCTACTGCAAGAGGGCTTCGCAAAATCCAGACGGTTTGCTCCTGACAGTGGCACCCAGAACATGTGCGTATATGGAAAAATCTGGCTGCAAACGCATCCATATGCACATTTACATGTAAAGCCACTGCAGCAATCTAGAGGCCAAACGTTCTTCACTTTCACAGCACTCCGCCCACTAACCCCCATTACCACGCACACAAAAATCCTAAGAGCACATGAGCACAGCGCAGCAACAGTTACCTACGAACCCGTTTATTCCATGACGAAAGGCGCACATCCAAGCTATGACGCGGAGCTGTGGGCATGCTATCTCGAGAAGGCTGGTAGAAGCCTCGTGCGACGTGCGCTGCGGGCAACAGATTTCAGATACGTCTCGCAACTCATGTGTTCGGTTTGAGGTAGATGATCATGAGAGATTGCAATGCGTGGTAATATACTACCAGGGTCCTCTTTTGTTTGCTAGGGGTCATTGGCTCTAAAGACTACCTTCGCCTCATCATTCTGTACATGACAGCTGGGAGTGCCTGCTACGAGCCGACAAGGTTTGGAGGCGTATTACGTTACACCTACGCAAGGGTTATGAGGGAATAATGATTATTTCGGCTTGTGCAGTAGGGACCTGCAGCTGCTGAGGTAGGTGGAGCTCCTAACCCAGCCGAATCCATCAAGCAAACAATCCGGTGGCATGCTTACAACTTACAACGGCGTTGACGGTTACACATCAAGGTACCAGTAGGAAGCGTTCTGAAGAAGCAACGGCCAAACCTGGCAGCCATTGTCCATGCCAAATTGTGCTTCTCATCAAAGCGTCCAAAGTAACGCCGAAATTTATGACAGACATGATACAAGGGTAAGGTGTGGCAGCCATTATTTGGCTCTTGCGAGTGGGAGGCTGTCGCCATCCACTGTGGTGGATGGGACGAGCTCGAAGGAGGGCAATGCCCGCACGCGTGGCGAATCTAGGTCATGATTGAGTTGGATCAAGTTGTATAAGTTACCCAAATAGTGAGTGAAAAAGTAAGTGGAGAATTACATGGAAACTAGGGTTGTATAGGGTTGTCTCGGAGCTGCAGAAAGTTTTAAAGCGGAAAGGTGACATGTGATTGACACGTCTAATTGCAGTTGGAGCCCCAATGCTTGAAAGGGCTTTATTTTTGGAATCATGTCGAAGAGCCATTTAGGATTGCTGACGGGCTGCAATGACCAGCGCCTTGGATGGCAAGCATTCGGATTTCTGGAATTTTCCGCAGAAAGTAGCGCGCCTACCATTAGAAGGCCGACATCTGGTGAGAGTGTCTGCCATCTGCCTGTGAGCGATATCTTGCTGAGTTAAACATTCATTCCAGAACACATTTGGACATCAGCTTCATTCGCTTGACAGATTTGTCACAGGGGATTGCTGTCCTCCAGCGGCACCTCACTTTTGCCCCAGCCCAAAACTGTTCTTTAACTGCCCGCCTCGCGACGGTTAGGTATGTCTTTATGGATGATGGCGATGGGTTTGAATGCGGCTGGGTCAGCACTGATCCGCTCATGAAGGTTCGCATCATTGCAGATTCCCTTCGTTCAAGTTGCGGACACCCAAGGCTGGGGGAAGTTCAACCCCAATAAGGAGTCGTGGGAGCACATGGAGAACTCCATCAAGAGGAGCTGAGATCTTCGAGCAGTGAGCGCTGTCAATCTATGTCTATCACGGAGTAGGATGTTTTTCCTGCGTTGGGTGATGGGCCAGATGGTGTGCCCAGTCTCCCAGAAAGCAACCAGAATGCATATTGCTTGCTCTTCTACTGCTGAAGTTTGCCAGCGGATCTCCACTAGGTGTTTCTTGTTGAGTTTGATTGTCCTTCATGTGCAAACCCTAAACCCTAAAAACCCTAAACCCTAAACCCTAAACCAATGTGCACCATACATCAGTCCTGTACAAGCTGGGAGGAGCTCCCAAACCATCTGGCGCATGGACTGGCCGGAGGTGGGTGGAGGAGGGGACAAGCGGACCAAGTGTGGGCATAATGAGATGCAACTTGGATGATGCTAGTTTAGAAGGATTATCCAGGTCCGATACCGGTCTTAGGATTCCAGATCTGCGGATGCAGGATTCCAGCTTGGATCAACTGTCTTTTACTGGATGATAAGATCATGAATTTATGAATGCCATTGCTGTCGGTGCGTCTACTTTTGGTTTGGCATCGCTTTGGCTGGGCTAAGCTTTCTAGGGATCGTCAGCGTGCAGCAGCTCATGGTACTCCCCAGGCACCATCTAGTAACTAGTAGTCAATATTGGCAGTTTGCAAGACTGCTCCCCAGCGCAGCAGCGAAGCGGCGACAAATCAAGGGCTTTCACAAGCACTGAGAGAGACTTCTAGAAGGGCTCTGAACCTGAACCCCAGTTCCCCCCTACCCGGGAGCTGCCCCAGGTTTGAGCGAATGTGTGCCTGGGACGACCAGAACTATGTCCTGGCGGCCGGAACCAAGGCAGGCTCAGACAGCAACGACACAGATGGGACGCCAAGCCCTGCCTTGAGAAACTTGTGTCTCTTCTCTCATGCAATAAAACCGTACTTTCTTGAGTTTACATTCCGCAGGTTGTTGTTGGTCCAGGGTCTCGGCTTGGGAATTTGCATGATGGATGCAGCCTTGTTTCGGTTCTTGAGCTGTCAGGCTTGCGTCTGCCAATGGGTTGCTGCACCATCACCAAGAGTTTTCTTCATGTCTGCCATGTGTAGCGCATGTACTTCGAAGTGAGGGTTAGTCTGCTCCCTCTTGCCAGCCTTGCAGAAGCAATGGAGATCTTGTCGCAAACAGATTATTGCTGCAATCACGTCGTCCCAGCCACTGCGCACCAGCACTCCCGACACTGCCGACCACACCACACCATACCACACCAAACCACACCACCCCCGACGCCGCCACCGCCGCCACCATTGCTACCGCTGCCCACCACAGCCACCACCACCGCCACCACCACGTTTGCTCTGAACTATTTCGAGAGTCCTCGAGGATCGTGGATGGTCACGCCTACACTGTGATCACATGCCTGAACGACGTGGCCGGCACCACACATGACCTGATAAAGGCAGCATGGCTTGCAAATGATTATGCCTATCAAGTCTCCAAGGTCTTACTTACCTTCAGATTCCAAGGTGCTTGATTTTGAGCTCCGCAGGTTTAAGCAGCCAATTCGTCAGGTCTTCGTACCCCACAAGTGCTTGCAAATCACAGCAACTGGTCATCTTAAACAGTGGAGGTCCTCCCAACAGTACGTAGAATAGCCTTTCTCCTCAAGAGCCAAGCCAGAAAGAGGCTCTATAGTCTTCCTTAAGTAGATAGAATATGGCTTTGGGTATATTATAACAAGATCTCCATATGCCCCATATTCTATCTACTTAAGGGGGACTATACACCGTGACTCGTTGCAGGTGCGCAATCCCTGGGGCCGGGGCGAGTTCACCTCTGGGGAGTGGTGCGATGACGGGCCCGGGTGGAGGAAGCATCCCGAGGCCTATAATAAAAGTAGCTATAGTAATAGTAGCTTAGTAGTAGTAGTAGTAGTAATAGTAATAGTAATAGTAATAGTAATAGTAATAGTAATAGTAAATAACAAGCATGGTAACAGGAATAGTAAGAATGGTAATCAAAATTAATAGTCTTACTGGCCAGTCTTGACTGTATGTAGAAATTGTCTATATTATTCGGAGCTGGCACCACCTGCCCAATAATATGCGCTAACCCTAACACCACCTGCTAAAGCTTCCCTTCTACTCCTCCATCCACGTGTCGTGGTAGAGCGCGAGTCAGGCATTGGGCTGAACTTACGGCTTACCTAGGGGATGAAACCACAAGCTTGCAAGGAACGCCACAGCTTAGAATAGCCATGACCGGCTTTCCAGCCCATTTTTCCTCGCTTCACGGAAGGTGGCTGCTGTGTGCAAGCCGGTGAAGGCTAACGACGGTGTGTTCTGGGCCTCTTGGTCAGAACATTGGGCCAGGCTGTCAGCTCACTAGCGCCCCTACTTGTCGTGATAGTCTGGAGGTAAATATGTGGCCCTAGAAAATGCCTGGATGTTGGCAAAGTAGGCCATGATGGTTGCTGTTTGCAAACGCGTCCTGTGATTGCTGTGGTCGTCGTGCTTCAGGTCAGCAAGGAAGAGTTCTTCAAGTATTTCAAGACCATCTACTTGTGCGCGATGGACATGAAGAAGTTTGTAGGGTGAGCAACATTCTCGCCTGTAAAGTATTTCCTGCAAAGCTGGGCGTTTTAAGCTTCTGAAAATCCTGGCCGAAGAGGTTGCCAGGCTGCATGGCGAGAGGTAGAGGCTGAACAAAAACTTCATTGAAAAGCCGCAGATTGTTTTTTCCGTGGTCCAGGGTGTAATGGCTGCCCCCTTACAATAATCGACGTCCTCATTCAGCCCTCATAAAGAAGCTGGCTGGATTTTTCTCAATATTCTTTGGGGGGGGAAAGCGGGTGATCTCCTGCGACCCCACAGTACCCTCAGAAATCAATAGCTCCGAACCTTATTGACTGCTAAATCTGGGGACCCTAGGGAGTATGGGGTGTTGTCTTGACGGACTATACACAGGATTTGTTTTGAGAAGCTATCTAGTACTCCCCAACTGCGAATCCCTTCAGCAACTGCTACGGTTGCCTGGCTTACGACCTGATGACCCCAGGAACCAAAGTATGGGCCCTCACAAGCTCGGTCAGGAAAAACCTGCATCACTGAAAGTTGGGGGCTCCAGGCCCCAACATCAACCTCCCAATGCAAGAAACCGCCCCTGTAAACTGCCAGCCGCTGGCCAACAAAACAAATAGTCAAGGTCACAGCGGCTGGAGCTCTTGCAGCAAAACATGGACGCCGAGGCTTGCCTCTGAGAGTCTAGAGTAAGAGGTGCAGGGAGCCTTTGGGGCTCTAGGAACAAGGATTGGGTTAGGGACACGTTGGAGGCGTTTGCCTCTTGCGAGCCTCAAGGTAGGCGAAGCGCTCCAGCGCGCAGCGCTACAACACCTCAGATCTTAGATATTCCGTGTGTCCTTTGGAGGACGCGATGTCAGGCTCCATGGCCGCGTTGCCACGACCGCAGGCGTGGGTGCAGCACTGAATGCTGAAAGTTTCCCGAGCAATATCCAAAACTAAAGGTCCTGAAGGCATGGCCCTTTGATGGCGTCGACACGACGGAGGAGATTCACAATTTGGGAAGCTTCATGGATTGCTGCTAGCTTTGCGACCCTCATCGGCATTGCAATGCATTTGTTGAAGTGACTGCTAACTCGGGCCACGAGCCTGATCGTTGTTGCTTCTTGCCAGCCTTGTGCGTCTAATGGTGTCAGAACGTGCCTTCATCACAAGTTATTCCCACTATCGCCACTGAAATATGCGCATGGTTGTTCTCAGCCCGTGACAGTATCAGTTGCATACTGGAAGTTGGCAGGCTGCAGTGCAGCCGGCAGAAGTGCGGCATGTCGAAGTTCTGCCTGCTGGGCCTGGTGCTCACCAAAGGGACAAGTGGTACAGGTCAGAATCTGCGAATTTCACGGGAATAGGTTGCGTGGTTTTGTGAGGAATTCAGGCTCAGGGTTACGGTGGGGTTAAGTTAGGACTAATTAGTTCAAGCAGGTCTACGGGCATGCATTAAACAAGGAACTTTGGGGTGCAGGGTCCTTGAGACGCTGCGATTCTCAACCCAGGGTCTGGTGTGGAGGCGTTCGGGTCGTGAGCGTAAGCTGAAGGCCGCAAGTAGAAACGGCTGTCAGTGAACGACAGGTCTCAATGCAAGCTTGCCGACGGCATCGACCCATGCACCCACGCCCTAAATCACATTGATTTATCGTCCCCCGAGTTTGACGGAAGCCAACAAGGGCTCTATCAAGGCTCCTGTACCAAAAACATGGTCCCTATGTGTGGTTCCATGTTAGAGCTCACTGCAGCGTTTGAGGAAGCCAGCATCCATTCACCCTACTGCCATTCTCCGCGATGATGTGACCCTGGGCTTGGGCCTCATCTTGTCGTCAAGGTCTATGCAGGAATTGCTCTATTCTGCTACTTGATGATCTCTGGCCAAAAAGCCTTTTATGCCAAGAAAGTTGCCTTGCTTGCCGTGCAGGTGAAGATTGCGTAATTGGAGAACATGCCATAGCCGGCATCTCAGAGAAGATGAATCACAGGATCCATGGGACAGCGTGGGGGACTGTGGTTGAGGGGGCTTGCAAACAAAGTTCAAAGTGGGCTTCCAGCAGAAGTTCGTTACACATGTCGAAGAAGGTTGACTCCTTGTCGTTGCTTTATGCAGACGAGAATATCAAGTGGCTGGCATGCTTGTAAGTATGTGTCTGTCTTGTAGGATTGATGAACTACATACTCGAGATCTGATCCATGAGCCAAGTAAAGCTTGTCTGCGATCCTCAAGCTAAAGCCCAGACCCGTTCCAAACCATGAACTGTGGAAAATCTAAGTCGGAAGTTGAAGTGGCTGGCCGCAGGCCTAGCAACTCAAGCATCAGGAATAGTTTGTCCGAAGGCTTTGATTCAAACCGGACGCGTTACGCCCCAACTTTTTTCTACCGCTACTGCTATGGCTGCTGCTGCTACCGCTGCTGATTTGCTTCTGCTGCAGCTCCACGAAAATTCAAGCCCAAAATCCACAGGTTGGCCCAAGGGTGCGCCTGGGCCCCCGATGTCGCATTGCAGCAATGGCAATTGTGGAGGAAGTCAACCGCAAGAAGTAGCTGTGATATCTTGATGTAACTAACTATGCTGACCTATACTGTTGTGGAGATTGCAATAGCAAGCATGCTGATGCGAATGCTACCGGCCTTGCCCACTCGATGGCCATCTCTGTCAGCATAACCGGAGACGGAATCATTCTTCAGTCCGCAGTCATAACATGCTGGCTTCAGACTCACTGTTATACCACGGGATTCAAGCTTCGGGTGGAGCATTTCGGAGCGAAGGTGCAACAAGCTTAGGGCGTGAAGGGAAAGCACGCCTGCATGGGCCTTTAAGGTTTTGATTTTGATCTCCGCAGACACTGTGTTGTGTGGTTAGCCTCATCCCTTCCTGTGTGCCGCAGCAACATGCAGGAAGATGTGGCGCTGGCGGAGGATTGCGAGGCCATGGATTTGATTGACAAACCTCTTTGGCATTTGGGGTAGCCACAGGGTATCGCAGAGCTTTAACATCTCCAACCGAAAACATCCAAACCATTCTCCATGGACTGGAACAAGCTGTTCCTGCTATGGCCCCCCTTATCCCCAAGGACACGTAGGCTGGAGACGAGAACGAGCTTTTGGGGTAGGGCCGGTGCATAGGGGTAGGCCCTAGATTGGGTTTCAACGAGAGGTCCAAGGGTCAAAACTTGAGTCAGGTTTTCACACAGCAGCTCAGATAGGTGAAAACAAACAAACTAAATCAAAGAACCCATCCGCATGGAGCGGCGCCGCCGGCCCCGACGCCAAGCAGCTTCAGCATATGCCAATCCAAGTGAGACCTCCCGAATCCCATGCCAAAGTGAACGTGTCGGTCTGGGTCCCATTACAAACGTCATTTGGATTGCTCTAAGCCCGGGAACGGCGCATCCAGACTCACAGGATTGAGACCCTGGGGAAGAAGTAAATGGGGCTCCCTTTGGCCCAAGCTGCTAGGCCCAAGATCAGAAGCCTGACTTTAAACTGCTAAGCTGCTAAGCTTAAAAGAGCTTGAAACCCCAAGACGAGTACAAAGAAAAGACTCATGCCGTGTCATGGTTGGCTGTGAACTCCACAGACAGCCCAATCTCCACGCATACCCCAATCAATCCCTCTAGCTCCGATGGAGCCTTACAAACAACAACCTTCCAAGCTTTTCTGAGCAATCCGCTGAAAGCCAGTAGGTGGGACCTCGGGGCCTCGTCCGCGGGCCGCTATCTGCGGGCAGCCGCAATCGCTTTGAAGAGGGATGCCTCATAGGCCTGGACCTCTGAGGGGCATGAGAGGGAGGACATGTGCTAAAATGTGGGGCCTTGCGGTTCACATGGGTTCACAAGATTCGTCAAGACATTCCACGAATCCTTGGAATTGGGCCGCCAGACGATCCCATTCGCAGTAGACTCTAGTTCTCATGAGGCTTAGACGGTCAGGTTTCCCTGGAAGATTTGGGGCATAGGCATCGAGACATATGGTTTCATGTTTGCGCCTGAGGAAAGTTGGCATACGGTTTCCTTGCGGCGCATGTGGTGTTACAGTTTTGAGGACATGTTGGCAATGAGGTAGGTGTGTTCTTCAAGAGAAGTTGTCTTACACCACCTCCCTACAGCTTGAAGTCTCTACTCTAATACTGCATTCAGGAAAAGTAGGGTCCCAAAGTCGGATCAGAATGGTGTCATGGACTTTCCACTTGCCCGAGTACGGCCCTGAAGAGGGCCCAGGATTTTGCCACAAGCTGAGCCACAAATCCTAAACCCATCTGCATGCAGGCTGTCACAGTTCACATCTTGGGGCTGTTCGAAATGGTCGCAGCCCTGGCACTTGGCGTTGGCAAAGACATGGTATTTCAACGTGTGGTGACACAATTAGGAGGGACTGAGCAGGGCGGGCGTATGATTCTTATATGACTCTCAGTTCGAAATTGTCAGGGCCTTCAGGGACGCCGGCAGCATTACCTTAATAGCCGCGCCGGATTCTTCTACATACATCCCATGGCCAAGTAGAGACGCGAGATGGCAGGCAGACAAGCAAAGGAGAGCCTCAAACAGCGACCCTACACTTTTAGTCGAGATGCTGTAGTCTCCCTCCGCGAAGGTTAGCAATTCCCCCTTGTTGCCTCGTTTTCAGAGCTCTCAGCCTGAGCAGGCCAGATCAGCATCGGCAACGAATGCCTTTTCGAGCTGAGCTCCATAGCCCGGCACTTTGCTCTGTGGTAAGCTGCAAGGTGCAGCATGCAGTGGGTAATGTTGTGGCCAGCGGCACAAAGTTTTTCGGAAGTTGAGTCACAGGCTTGATGCGGTTGCAGATTTGAGTAGCAGGTCTGAGATACTGGAGACACAGCCGGGTCCTGTTAAATTGGGTGGTTTGCCGCCTCGCTTGCAGGAACAAAGGAGCTGAACAAGGTTGTAGCAGGAATAGCTTTCCGTAAAACGAACCTCAGTCGCATGAGCAGACAAGGTTGAAATAACCCCTATATTGTACCCCTAAATAGTCGTTTCTGAACAGTTTCCATTTTCCTTTCCATTATACTATA